CTTGCCAAGAGGTAAAGGAGACGCGTCCGAAGGACGAGACGCAACCTCCAGTTGGTGCGCGCGAAGTTTCTTGACGTCGCCGTCAAAGACTCGAAATGCCCGATGGAGTCCTTTCATGGACCACATGGCCTCGACGTCGGAGCACTTCGTCGCCTGGGCGGTAAGTCCTTCGCCTTCGTGGTCAACTCGAAGTGCCACTCGTCAAAGTTGTCGATGCCACGAAGGTGGTGCGTGACAGACGGGATCGGGCGGGAAGCAACAGTGTTCGGTGTTGTAGTGCTCATAACCAGTTGGAGGGGTTGGTAGCGAAGAGTAAAAAGGAGTTGAGGATATTGGGGTTTTCGTAAAACGAGAAGAAAGGTGAAGTGAACGGTGGGCGAAGCCCATCCGCCAGTGTAGGCCAACTGGCCAATGAGCTCACGACATCCTAACGATGTGACGTGCCCTTCGCTGGAACTAACTACTACACGTCGAAAAAGTCTCTAGAAGGCACAAAAAAACTCCTACAGTTGCAGGACCATCCAACGACCTGATGGACAGGGCAGTGGGGACGTTCTCGACAGAACCGGGTGATCTGACTAGAAACGGCCATCGGTCGTTACTCTATTTGCGGCGTTTTAGGAATTTCGGTAATTAGTATGAAAATTGCGAAATTGGTGTACGACACCGCAACGTTCCGACAAGATCGATGGCCGATGCGGCAATGGCGATTGCTGTGGTGGCGCTGGCTCTACCGTTGTGTCTAGTGGGGCTGGTGTACTGCGTCGACCCGACAAAGTAGGTCGTTTTCGACATTTTCCAAGTCTTTATCCTTGCTAGGAGTGGCAACCTGAGCTCCCTCCACCGCCTCGTGCTCGAGGACTTGCCGGCATTAACTAGGTGGAACGTCAACAAAGACGCTGGCCATTCAACACTGTCTGTAGCGCCGCGCTGTTGAAGCTTTGTGGGCCACGTATTCACAGTGGAGTGGTCGACTCAGTGGATTACGTCTTGTATCGACCGAACCCGCTCATGCAGGTGCAGCACGCAACATCCCTGGCTCGCCTCATGGAAATAATGATGGGTTGTAGATGGTGTACTTGCACTTGGTCATTGGAGGATACGCTCTTTTTGTTATGTTTGCTCAACCATTGCTGCCAAACGTGTACTTGTCATACAACCACGTGTAACATGCCTTCATGACGCCCTGCGGTCGCTGACTTTGCCGTAGGTACTTCACAGGAGGGGCCGCCTTGCTGGCATTGCTGACGTTTATTCAAGCTAGCACTGCGAACCCTGGCATCGTTACCATGCGTAAGCTGTCGAATTGGTGGCGTCCATGACTGTGGTCCTTAGGCACGATGGCGGAGTACCAGACGTACAATTTCGACGAAGTCATGTACAAGACAGCAAATTCGTGCAAGACGTGTCGCTGCAACAAGTACACAATGACTTCTCCACCTGCGCTTCATCGCATGGCTCACCTTGGTCACAGGCCGGCTCGATCCAAGCACTGTTCTGTCTGCGACATGTGTGTTGCTCGCTTCGACCACCGTGAGCCATCATCTCGCATGGACAGTTTGGTGTTGGCGCTAAACCTTGCACGATTGTAGATTGCGGTATGATTTGTTGAGTCGGCAATGCACTGGAAGTGGTTCATTGTCTAAGAAGTGGGATTCCGTAGCCTGGTTGAACTCGTGTGTTGGGGAACGCAATTACCGCTACTTTGTGCTGTTCATTCTGGTACGTCCTCGTACCGCGTCGTTGGGCTCACAAAGTGGTGACCGGTAGGTAAATGCTGGTCTGTGCGCTTACAGCGCTGTCGTTCTCTTATACACACTCTTAGGCGAGGTCAGATGGAATCATGAGAACAGCTATTCCCTCGTTTTCGACGACTCATGCACTTGATCAAAGGTGGTAGCTCTCCAACTGTTCGAGTCCAAGTACATCAACCAAGCCACGGGGGAACCCACGGACGCAACTGTGTGGATCGTGACTCGATACGTCATTTACCTGTATCCCGTTGTGTGCATGCTCTTTTTCATGTGCGTTGTCATGGGTATGAGTCCGTGCGTACCGAATGAAGTTGCTCTGATGTCGAGGAGGCTGTAGGAGTTGCCTTGATCGCTTTTTCTGTCTTTCACGCCTACTTGATTGTTTCGAATCGCACCACGAACGAGTTCTTCAAGTATGTTGCACGTGGGTGGCGGTACTTGCAGATTGCTGCCGTTAGGCAGAGAAGCATGACAGCAAACGCCCAAGCTACCGCGAAGTCGTTTTACAGCCAGTCAGTGGCTCGAAATGTGGCCGAGGTATGTCATGGCACCTTGCCAAGTATGCCGCGATGACATTTTGCCACCCTCAGGTGCTTTTTCCACGATGTGCAGCGCCAAAGGCCATGAAACAGGACTAGAAAAGTGCCGATTTCGCCAATGTCTAAGAGATTCACTTCATTTTGAGCTGGTCGACAAGGGATGGCATGCTTCGTCGCTTGGACTGAATGGCCTGAGGAGTTACGAAAGCATCCAACGACAACAAATGAGCCTTGCAATACGTTGTGCACACCCACTCCGCAATCAAGCACGCATACATGCCGCAATCGAATGCATTCCGCTGCTGTGGACATGTGACACTCCGTACATACACGGTGGATGTCGGCAGACCCAGTGCGCGACCGAGGACACCTGCCACTTCGACAGCACTATGAAGGTTGTGATCTGCACTCGAATCATAGAATTCGAACCCATTCGCCGACGAGTACACCAAGAGTGCCCAATGGCTTCCCTGGGAGTCAAAACTGCTTCGATCGTTCACAGGGAGCACAATCAGTGATTTTTCCTTGAGTTGCAGACCTTGCGTCAAATCGATCAAATCTTCATCTTCGTCGCACTAGAGAGAATTCCACTTTGATTGATTTCACATTACACAGCGCTTGCCTACCTGGAGCATCATGCACGAGACGACGGCAGGATCCATGAGGAGAACGTCCGACGGTGCACCACATAGGTCATGGTATACCACCGTGAAGTAAAAGTTGATCGCTGCATCGTTTAGCCACGCGTTTGACGTGAAGAGACTCAAGTCGCGGGCATAGAGCTGCGCGTCGTGGTACCGGAACGCCGACATAGGCACAGGGGACTAACAGATTGAATTGTCCGGATATGTTTCCAATGTATATCCGGACAACTCGCGTCAGTAAATGTCGGCACTCGTTTCACTGGCGAAACCGTTCGAAGACGACGATGGCGGACGACGCGGCCCAAACAACATCAAAGGTGTCCGCTTTGACGGCATTTGCACAAGGTAATGCCATTGAAAAGCAAGCAGGGAATGAGAACACTGATGGCGCCACCTCTGCAGCGAAGAAGGAAGCCGCGGTGGAGGAATTTGCGCAGGACGCAAGCAATGGCGAGGTGGTAGAAGTCATCAACACGCTGTCGGACGCGGCAAGTCAGCCAGTCCAATCCCTTAAGGATGTTGCCAGCACCGAGCGCATGAGTTTGGCTGATTTTGCACAGCAACAGCAAGGCACGGCTCCTCGCAACAAAGCATCTCCTTCAACAGCTTCGACGTATGAGTCGACGTTGCATCGACCAGACCTCATGGACATTACCAAAGCGAGCGAAGGGGATGCACGAGAATTGCGCCAGGCTGTCGGACAGGTCAGCTTGATAGATGTGGCGAATTCTGCCCCAAAGCCCAGTCTGATGGAAGTGGCCACTTCGAAACCTCGAACGAGTTTGCTCGAATCGGTGAAGAGACAGCAAGCAGCCGACAGCGCATCGCTCATCGATATGGCGAAAGCCAACAAGGCAAAGAAACCGACAACGGTGGCCAAAGTGCTCGGAGCCATCGCGCAAGACGAGAGCCGGACCGTTGGCAACCAACTTGAGCACAAGATGAAGGAAGCGCTTGACGACGTCCGCCACGAGCAGAATCAACAAGCCCGCGATGCTTTGCGCAGTGCTGTGCATGAAGTGCAATACGACAGCGAGTTCGACTACGAGTCGTCTGCGGACAAGATCAATCGAGCGGTTGACATCCTTGTGGGAAAACAGCAGCCCGTCGAGCCGCCTTCGGTTCGCCCAACCATTTCGGTGGATCGTGACATCCTTCGCAGTCGACAAAGGCGGGGACTGCAACACACCTGTCCGACCGTCAAGTCCCGACAGAGCAAACTGTCATCGTTCCAACTCAACCAGTTGACAGAAACGCAAAAACGACTGCTGTACGCGACGCTGGTCGAGCACAAACCACCGAGCAGCAAACGCGACAATCAGGCTCAGATGGTAGGTTCACATGACGAGATAGAATTCGACCTCTGACTGCGAGGATGGGAACAGGAGTACATCAACAGGATTGCCAAGCCCGTGAAACCCAAGTAACCCTACGTTACAGCTCATGTTGAATGCTGTGAACGAGCAGTTGGAGCGTAGAAAGCGCCTAGGGAAGGAGCAATATGCCCGAGAGTCAGACCGTCGGCACTGCAAATTCAAGCCACGAGTTGGACGCGGTTCAGCCGAGTCTGGCGGGCGCAGCGATGATGATGATGATGACAATGGCAACGACAATCAAGACTTCATTCGACGCATGGAGGCGGCGGAGAAGGCCAAGTTAGATGTGCGTGGCAGCATCCTCCTCGAATGCAAACGATCTTTTACCAACCACTGTCTTGGAACGTGTAGAGCATCGAACGGCAACGTGCAGAGCGCGTGTACCTTGCCCAGCTGGACAAGAAGGTGCGTTCGTTTCAGACGCACAGGACGGGCTGACGAGAGTACAACAGGAATGTCCCAAGTGCGGCAACCCTCAGTCCTACGCAGAAGTCCAGCAAAAACGCAAGCAATGCCCCAACTGTGGGGTGACGTATCGGTCCCGCTTGGCCTGGGTGCGTTTCCGTACGGTCTACCCTACAAACCATGACGCTTCGTAGGGCGATATCTCGCACGAGTTCTTTGAACGCGTCGAGCTGAGTGAAGAACAGCGAGTGCGCAACCTGGAACAACTTACCATGGAATGGATGCCTCGATTTCGCGTCACGGACAAACGCGTGTTTGACCGGCGTCGGAATTGCATGGTCACGGTCAAGGCAAAGCCAATCACTTGGGTATGTACATGTTATCACGACGCAGTCGCCGACCACCTTCCAACGCCGCGTTTGTGTTGCAGGACCAAGTCGAACAAGACTTTTTGACCCGCGTGCGCCTCGACGCGTCGAATCGAATCACGGTCGGCAACAAGGACGGAGTGAAATCGATGGCTTTGACACGTTGATCGTAGAATCGAGAAGAACTCGAACAAAAGTTCTACGGGGCGATTACCTTCCACCCACACATCACGGCTCATGCGAAACGCGTCTGTTGTGAAAATCCACACGACATGCATGACGCTTTGGTGTAGATGCAATACGAGCGGTTTGAAATGCGAATGCAGAAGGACATCGACCAGCGCATGCTACGTCAAGAGCAGGTGAGAACAGTATGCAAGTCTGGAGGCACCTCATGAAAATTTCCCTGCAGAACAAGATCATGGCGGAAGCGCGGGCGCTGTATGGGTCATCGGCGACATCGACCAAACTTTAGTGTGTATGTATATGGTGGAGGTATATTTTTGGTGCAAATATATGGCGACAACGTTGACTTAATGGTCCAAAATTCGCAAGTCGCCCGTCACAACTTTATCTTCGAGGATGGTGCCGTCGGGCAGTTCGATTTTTGCCCCTTCGTTCGCAACGAGAATGACCGTACCCTACGACACCCGGCGCATGAAATAGGAGCGATGCCCATCACCAACACGATCGAGAAGGACGCACCTTCAGCGTAATGCCGCTGCCAAACTTGACGTCTCCAGCCACGGTTAAGTGGTCGAGTTCTAAAATGTTCGGGATGCCCTTTTCAAACCGTTCCGAGTATTGCTGCGCCGTCTGAAATTCACGGCCGAGTTTGACGATTGGAATCGTTGCCAACCCTCGGTCAGGGTTCATGAGCAAGCTGCACCTCGTGACGTGAGGACACCACACGGACTGTAGGGGGGGCGCACCTTCCGTGTTTAATTTGATACAGGTTCGACTGGACCAGGAACAGATCCGACGACGACTTCACAGGCAAAAACCGAAGGCGGGTGACTTTGATGCCGACAAAATTCTTGAAGAACTGGATCGCACCGCCAGCAGCCGTCTCCAGCTGGACCACTTTGGTGTTCTTGACCGTGCCGTAGCTTACAATCGGGTTGATGTCGATCAGGTCTTGGGCCACGAGGCGCTAGGCATATCATTCGCCCTCATGCACAACACAAATTGATCATCGTACCTGGATAGCTCGCAAGTTTACCCACAAGTTATTCGTGTTGAACATAGTGAACTTGTTGAGCGCCCGGAAGTCCTCCAAATGTTCTTGTGGCACTTGGTTCACTTCGAGCAAGTGCGGCTTGTCTTTGTACGTGACCAAAGTCCCTCCCTGGACGTCGGCCCGAGTTTTATCCGTCACTTCCATCATGAACTCCGAGTCGACGTTGATCATGTGGTACAAAATGTCCAAGTTCACCTGAACAAACTCACGTCGTGGGCCATCACGCCCCGAATGAGGTCGACACGTACCGTCGCGCCAAGGTTGTCCACGTTGGATATAAAAATGTACTCTTTTCCCTACCACACGCATGAAAAGCTCGTCCGAGGCTAAAAAACACGTACTTGGTTGATGAGGTTTTCGAGCAGCCCAGACTCGAACAAGGCGTTGTATACGTCGCCATGACCTGGCGGGTACCTGTTTCGCCTCGTCAGGTCGTCCGCCTTGCAGCAACAATCGCACGTACCACTTGTCCCGAGTCAACTTGTCGTACTTGGCGGTCGGGAGGGGCACGGCCGATTCTTTGACTACGTAAGGGTAGGAGCTCTATTCGCACGGGTCACCACGGTAGTGTGTAAGGCACATCTTATGAAGACTGTACTTGGTTGAACGTGTGGATGCTCAAGTTGTGCATGCGGTACTTGCGAATTATACGGACGGTTTCTTCATGCGTATTGAATGAGTTCATGAGCACAAGCGGGACGTCCACGCCGTACAAACTGTTGAGGTACTAACACACACGTTGTGTATTGGACGACAGACGATATGATGCATGGCACACACACCTCCACTTGTCGAACGGTTAGATCGAGAAATGAAAGGTCTTGGCGCACTTCGATCGCGCTCTTCGGGCCTTGGCACCCCATCGTCGTTCCCAGCCCACCGTTCAGCTTTAAGATGACCTGCCACGCATGAGCTCTCGGTGAATACATCTGAATCTAGAAGATGCAGACGACAACGCACGAGCTTATCCAGCAATTCGTGTTTGAGGCTGGCATCGTTTGGGCACGCCTCGACGCTGGAGCTGTTGATCACCATGTCAACCGGAGGTGGGTTCACGACTTTCCTAAGGATGGGATCGTCATGGCATGCAGTACTCGATGGGCGTGGCGTGATGCGTACCAGTCAATGGGGCTCTTCTTGCTCGAGCAATACTTGCGAAAGAGCTTCATGAAGCCTTTTCGCTGCCGCATTCCCAGTAGTTCTGACGCAGACAACGCCTATGGTCATGCAGCTCGGTGAACTAAAGTTATCTAGACGAAGAGCGTGCCTCGGACATTTGGTCCTCCACAGAGAGCCGTCCCGGAGCATGCGTCTTGTACTGAATCATGTCGGATCCCCTCACTCAATGTCGCCACTTCGCAGCGTCAGTCACTTTTCGAGTGATTTTTGTAGGCCCCCCATCCTGATATCAAAAGTCATATATTCGTGGGGGCGACCCATAAAATATGACTAGTACTACTATTGATAGTACTAGGCAACTCCCCGGTATTTGTTCAACGTGAAAAAATCAGCAAGTCACGGTGATACTGTAGGTGGACTGAGAGATCGAGTGATTTTCAGGTCAGCATTGGCAGACATAAATGCCATAGAGATGTTGCCCCCACCGCCAGAGGGTAAGCGCTGACACATGGCGTCGGCCTTGGTGACACACCGTCACCGTTGAAGCTGTCAAGATGTCGGTGGCAGTCTTGCGAGACAGTGTCGCCCTTCTTGGGGCGACTCGAGAGACCTCATCCCGCCAGGCGGGTCCTGCCACGCAGTATCTCCAACAACCGACACGATCATGAGACCGAGCTTCATGGTAAGCTTTACAATGGTTGTGGTGGACGGGTTAGTGGTCGACACGTTGGGGGGAGGTGAGGGGTCGGGAGTGTGTTGCAAGGGCGGAAGTAGTGGTCACGAGTTTTGAAAGGGGTAGTGACGGGGGCTGACGACGCGGTGGCACGAGTGGTGGAAGTAGTCACGGCGGTGGCAGCAGACGTTCTGACACGGACTTCGTCACAAACAGAGCGGTTTGGTGACAGGGACGGCGGACTGGTGAAAGACGAATCGTCATAGGGATGAACAGGGCAGGGACAAGGGTCCACACCGCTTCCCTCTTCTTGGTGATATCCGTCGTCGCAAACAGTGTGGAGAAGCACCGCGCCTTGATATGCACGAGCTGACTCGAAGCAT